GAATACAATACATGGATGAATCCACCATGGCGCCTTATACATAAGGTATTGCGTAAGGTGTTGGATGACACGGCGTCCGCGACAATATGCTTACCGTTGAACACACGTGCACCGTGGTTCCCGCTACTTCTGTTGATGATTCAAGCAGACCCGTTAGTTATCCCGCGCACAGCTCACACATTCTTAAAGCACGGCTCACAGGCTTGTGGTAAGTACCCATGGGAGCACACCATCATGGTACGTATTGGCCCTTCATCTGGATACAAAGTTAATCCATCGTTCTGGTGTGACCTAAGTATGGCGATACCTGTATGTGAAGATGCCAGTACACGTTATCAAGAAGATTGGGCGCAGCCAATGAGGACTATACGGACGCGACAGATCGCCGCACAAGTTCCGGAAATATGTGCGGGTGCTACAGTGATGAATCATCAGCTAACCGTCGTGTACAGTTGACATGGCAATTTCATGAACAAGGACATCTGGCGCCGGCAGTGACGGTCCCACAGATGCGAGATGACGGGCATAATTGGGACCAAATGCTTCCAATTACGGAAGAGGTCCGTAAATTATGTCGTACAGGCTTGGGTAACGATACGATGAAGAAGGGATTTCATCCTTGAATGAATATCACCGCTCGGTACCCATGAGATCACATACAAGTGGATCTCATTCCTATGGTAGTCACATCCACTAAAGGAAACAAATTTATTCAACATGTGCTTGATGTGGCGTCGGGATACTCGATTCTGCGGACGATACCTGCGAAGGGTGTCAGTGTTTGGTGAGCATGGATTTTCTCGTAAGGTACAGAGTGACGAGGGCACCGAATTTGTGAACAATATCGTGAAATCTATCCATACCGCCCTCAGACATTGGGTGCGACAGAACGCCGACATAAAGAAATTCACAAATGTGTGCGCGCACTGTGTGTTTATTGTCCGAAGTTGTGGGATGACATTTACCGTTCACTATGCTATATCAAAACCTCAGAATATCACGGCGTCACAAGTCCGCACGTTTAGCGTGTATTTGATCGCCGACATGTTCCGTTTGCAAACATGACTAGCGTGACAGCTAAGGAATCCATGTAGATAATAAAGAGCTGGGGGCCGACGATTGAGCCTTGTAGGATGCCATTCGTTCTATGGAATAGAGACGAGAGCGTGCCGCGGTATGTCACTCGGGTAGGGACCCTCCCAAACAGCGCGAGGAGGCAGTTGATCCAGTTTTCGGGCATTCCAGCGTGACGCAGAAGTACCCATAGGCGTGGGAGAGCGACCTTGTCGTATGCCTTGGTTATGTCCAGACAGACGTCGTTCCACTCCTCTTCTGACTGTGTCTCAGATTCCATCTCCAGCCCTTCTTAGATGACATTGACGCGTGGGGACGCAAATCAGGCCTCGAACAGGGTGTCATTAAACCCCGAGTACGATCTACCAACTTGCGACACGCGGCGCCAACCCTCCGTATAAATGGTGAGCTTATCACGCCGACGCTTGCAGACGCACATTGGAACACACGTTACCTCCCCCTGAAGATGGCGCCCAGACATGCCAAACCGAAACACTCCAAATATCTGGGGTTCCCACTCTCTCACGGAGTACCAGGAATCAACCTCGCCAGACATATGGAATCTCTGGTTGCAGCATTGTCACTGGGTATCGCCTCTTTTCGCGCTTATGGCTTCCATGGCTTCAGCTGGCGATACCCCGCAACCGACTGGTGATGTTCGAAACATTCATCCTATCCACGGCTACATGTGGGGTGAACATTATTGCCTGGGCTCCGCCTATATGGAAAGATGCGTTGGACCCCCTGTTCGAGCGCTTTAACTCAGCACTCATCCAAGCAGCAGCCATCATCACGGGCACTAAATACCCTCGGTTTCCCAAACATCAAACAAACTTACTTCACTTTTGCGGCCTGCTCCCCGCGCGACCATTTGCAGACTACTTCGGAGGTTGCCTGGGAATACAACTCGACTCAATGGTCAGCACCAATCCACTTACTCCTCTGACGCAGCCCGTCTGAGCACACGACAAACCATCACTGCGCTTCCCGTACAGTATCTATGCTCACCTGAAAACTGTATACAAAACCACGGGCGGGCGTACACCCGACCATGTAGCCCTCCGCCAACGCTGTGACGACATCAGGAAGAACTCAACAAAACGTTGGTTCAACAAAGAGATCGCGGCAATGGCCCGGCGCCAATACTACTACCAACTGATTATGGGTAAACCGCCAACCTCAAACTAAGACACAGCCAGACACGACAGCTTCAATCGCTGTTTTGAGTCTGCACCCATCCGGCTCTGTGCTATGATTGTAACGAATACGTACATGTTCACATTGCTCAACTACCGCACCGACGGTTGTCTCTGCCCTGTCTGCCCCGGTAGCCACAAATTCACTACCAGCCACTTTATCTGTATCCAACAACTGATTCGACGCATCCTGGTAGGCCTGAAACTGCCGCCCATTGGCCTAGACCTCCTTCAGAAATTACAGGAGTGCCACGACTACCACGGTATCTGGACCCTCCACGAACACCTTGGATCTTTTCTCCAGCATGTTAAAGAACCACCGTACCCTCACCCGTCCCTGACACATCTACAGATGTTCCCCATACCCCGGCTAATCACGCTGTTGAAGTACTACTTCCAAATTTCGGTTCAAACCAAATCATCGCGCTTGTTGGTTCCGCCTGTGATACTTCTGATCCAGGCCAGCCAACACATACCGAATTCATCCGTGGTCTGGTGCGGCATTGGCTTACCCCCATCCTCGCTCCTCGACTGGATTATGACGGATAACCTGGTCCTTCTCGGTATTTCGTACTCTGCACTAACCCATTCCGCCGCACTACACGGCGCAGACCCGATCCGTACCACAGAGGTGGGTACTCTACTTAGTAGGTCAGCAAGCGAATATATGGAACATTCGATTCTAACAGTGTTTTGTCAGCACCGGCTCGAATTGACTCAGCGCATATCTTCTATTGTCGACTCACTTGGCCCAAGCTTCAAACGGGAATTTACTGACCATTTCTTCCCATCAATCTTTCCTGAACCACTACAGCGACTATGAAAGCCATACCATATGTTCATACATTGTAACATACATACTTGTCATTTTTGAAATAAAACAAGAAGCTGTGATACCGTTGCTTGGTCCCTACGTGATTCACAGTCGAGAGAATCAGAGTTTCCATCTGCGAGTAAAGGATGGCACTAAGCCGCCTGAGCTCAGGGACCGACCAGTTAATATTGAGATAGTTAGGCTGGTACATCGGACTACGGAGCCACCATTGGATGAGTCTCTATGGAGAGAGGGTGGCTCGACATTTCGACACATCATCTTCTACCGACTTAATAAGGCGACTAAGCAATCGGAATACTTTATACGTTGGTTGGAAGGATGTAGCCGGATGTCGAAAGCGGATCCAAACGCGTGAGAGTCGACGACAACGACGTTTGGTACAAGGATAGAGCAGCCTGGGCCGATGGTATGTCTGGCCGGGGTTGCGTCTTTGCTGCATGCTTGGGTGATGAAAGCACACTCGTATACCCGATATCAGGCATTAAAGGATTAACATTGTTTCAATAAAATAATTATACATATATTAGACAATTAGTATTAACCTATGCAATATACACGAGTTGCACAGATCACTATTGAAAAACAAATCGAAAGTTACTGATTTATTTACGTTATTTCCCACAATTCCCGTCCAAACGCCAAAACACTTTAAAATTTGTCCAAACGCGAACTCGCCTTCTTTTTTTACATTAACGTTAGTGTGGGATCAAAAGTCGATTCGAGTCCCACATAATTTCATTGTTTGCACAAAGACCGTCTTAATTTATATACACGCCCCCTAAATGTTACGACATTTAGCATTTTCCTGATTTGACACCCTGTTTTCTCACCCCACCCAAAGCCCGACCACGTCCCATTCCCATTTTTTTTTTGTAAATGTTACGACATTTTCTAAATCCCCTTAAAAAATTGCTCCAGCTGCTCCGAGTCCATGTTTTCCGAAAAATCGAATGGGGGGCTCTGGGACTCTGGGGCGTGATATTGATACTCCTCAATCATCATCGAGACATGCGGCCTCTCACTGTACAGGTTAACGAAATCAACTTCATTTTTGGACCACTCGAAATGTTGTGTGTCCGCAGCCAGAACAAAGTCATGTGAATCGTTTTCGGGGCGCGACTCTCGTGCCTCAACGTGCTTCTCCAACAGTTCGTCGGAAAACTGGTATAAACACGCATCGCAAACCCTAGGTTGTCCTCATCGTGTTCGTAGTGAAATTTTGTTCCCCGGGGCACAATGACCTCGGTCAATTCCCGGAAGGTGGCGTCAACGAGAACTGGTGTGACCGCCGGAATTGTCAGAGACATTAAGCAACATTTTTTGTCGGCAAACATAGGAATAAAATTCGGGTTCTTGTTGAGCGTAAAGGACTTGGTCGATTTGGACGGCTGGCTGTCATACACATCCTGTCGTCGTGTGAATCGGTAGACTGTCACATCTTCCCGCAGCGAGGGTGCACGATTCCACATGCGGTCCAGTGCGTTTGAAATCTTGGTCCGCGCTAGACATAACACGTCGTCATCAGACATATCATCGTCATTCAAATCCCCAAATAATTCCGGGCATCCCGAATATTATAACTGGAAAAAATATTGTGGCCTCCGAACGAACGCCAGTATAACATTGTTTCTTCCGTCCACACATGCCTGGACCTGATGGCGAGCCGCTCAGACGATGTCAACATTTCCTTTATGTATAGGATAAATAAAAATATATATTTATTCCCATTCGTAGTCGGCTTGACCCAATTTCATGACCTGGTACATTTCTCGGAACAGATCGAGTACTGCGCCCTGATTCTGACCATTCCAAGTACGCGTGAACCGTGTGGGTGTCCATTGTCGGATTACTGAGTCGTGCAAGAAACAAAACGAGCGTAAACAGGTTACAGTTTCCCGTCGGGTCTGTAAGCCGGTCACGGACAAAGAGGTCGAATGGTTTCATGTGGAAAAGCAATTCACTCCTTTGGACACATGAATCATTACACACCTCCCGTGTGGGTACAAATCGAAAAGATGTACCAAAATATTCATTGTATTTTTCCGTGAGCATCAAACCAAATTTATCGCGAAGTCTATTAAAAACGTTTACTGTTTCTCCTATGGAATCTATTGCTTCAATTGTCTCATTTTCAAAGTCTACAATCATAGGCATCACATGTCCGCTTGTCCTCGTGGACGGACCAGTTCTCAAAACGCGTCGTACATTTGGCTTTGTCAAGTTTCCGAATAACGGACGGATTTTCCTCTGCACAATCCTCTTCATCATAGATTTCTAAAAATACTACGATGATTGTACAGACACTGGGAAAGTCACGAAACAGGATTAGAATGTAGTCGTCCATAAAATACATGGAAACCAGTCTATGGTAGAGGAACGGGTTGTCGAATACGGTCGCATCGTCATCCATAAAATACTTTGGCATACATAGCGTCCCATGTTCCGGGATTGTGTATTGTTTCAGCTCCATCGTCCATTGTTTTTCAAGTCTATAGTCATCATCACAGAGAAGACGATACTCGAGTAAGTCGAATGGTCGCCCCATGGTGAGTTTGACATTGTCCCTCAAACCCTCGAAATCGTTTGTATCAAAGCGTTTGCACGCATTGGTAGACACGTTGTAGTAGTGCGTGTCGTTTTGAATAGTGCGATTTCAGTAGCACAATTATTTGATGTATCCAAAATTTGGTTGTATTTTTCAACAAACGGACGATAGACCGTTTCCCACTGTGGACTACGTGATATTACCGAATTACGATCCATAAGCTGGTACTCGATAGTTGGTGTGGGTTTCCCCTCATCAACGCTACACGATTTCGTACACATGTAACGAGTCTCCAGCAGCACTTCTGGACGTCCACGTGTAGCCTCAATGTTTAACATGAATGTTTCGTCGTACTTGCGTGACATTACGTTAATACATTTTCTATCGTGTATACTATATATGCAAGGGTCTTTCTTGAACACTCTTCTGAATTCTCGAGCCACCAATAATATGAACTTTCAAGTATCCGGTTCTATTCTATCAAAAAAAATAAATTTGTATCGTTTAAAGAATTTCTCGGTCTCGTCCTGTTCTCTCACCGACGGCTTTACCGACCTGGGTGTGTCATCTACAACTCGCGGCACGGGGGGTTTACATGTGTAACTGGTATGGGTACACTGCTACTATCGCCCGTGCACTTGTTGCGAGTCGCCAGCAACTCTTCTGGTCGTCCGCGCGTATCCATGATGTTATTTTTTACTGCATTATGACAGTCTAATGTGTTGTTTTTGATGGATTTTTTGTCACGAATACTATAGATGCAAATATCATTCGCGAACGCATTGGTGAATTTGTTACACACATCTACTGCAAACGACCGTAGTCTCGGTTTCCTTTGATCAATATCCCTATATATTATCAGGAATTTCTTGATATTGTCCTTATCTTTGGCCGATGGCTTTACCGACCCGGGTGTGTCATCTGCAACTCGCGGCACGGGTGGGTTCACATCGTAGCTGGTACTACCACATGCTTGGGCTTGGAATGTACAAACCGCAGTGTAGGGGGGCTCACCTGCGGGTCACCCGTGCTCCTGTCGCGAGTCGCCAATAGATCACCCGGATTACCGACAGTGTCTTGAATGTTGGCTTTAATTGTACTAAAGTACTCGTCTGCCGCACGTTCGATGTATTTTTTGTTACGAATACTATAGACGTACGTGTCGTCCGTGAACGTGTCGGCGAAGAGGTCGAAAATACCGGAAACGTATTCACCCACACTCTCTGCCCTCATTTCGATTTCATGGTATTTTTCCACGAATATGTCGGTGTCCTTTACATATATTGACGGATTGACTAACCTGGACACCTCATACATATGTATTTATGTATGTGTATTTTATACTACACATCAGGGTTCTTATGGTCGCTGGATGACTTCTACCTAACCACGACTAGCCTGTTTGTGATGGAGACCACCAACAACAACTATAACAACGCACTGACACACACCATCACCCACAAGTTCGTGACGTGTTAGATCAAAGGTACTGTGGCCAATCTCTTGGTTGAAGACCCTGAGGAGTGGTCTGAGATATTTGGTATGTGAGTGAGTGGTTGTATATATGTGTGTGTGAGTGATTGGTTATATATGTGTGTGAGAGAGTGAGTGGTTGTATATGTGTGTGAGAGAGTGAGTGGTTGTATATATATATATGTGTGTGTGAGTGGTTGTATATATGTGTGCGAGAGTGAGTGCTTGTATATATGTATGTGTGAGTGAGTGTCTGTATATATGTATGTGTGAGTGAGTGTCTGTATGTTTTTATTTTCGGGTGAGTGTTTGTATACTTTCTATACGTTGTAGAGCCATGTGGGGTGTATAGTGGTGTTTGGTAGTTATCCTATTTTGGGCGGAACTACATAGTTGCATGCAGTCCGTTCGAACTCCGCCATACAACTAGTACATATGCAGGTATCTTTATTCGCCATTATACCTATTGAACACTCCAACACGCCCATATAACGACACTGTTTACACAATATGTCAGTACCTCACACGTGCTCTGTTTTCACGCACCTGCTACAGGAATCCACAACTCAGCCACGTACGACAGTCAGTGGATGGTACTCGATCTCAACCAGTTCACTGCGGGATACCGGTCTCCCTGATACAAAGACCTTGTCCGCACACCCCCTCTGCGAAGCACGGATTGCTATCTGTCTGTTTTTCAAAACAAGTATCCATGTACAGCTTTTTTACATTTTTCTCAATGGCTTCGATATGCTGTGAGATTGAAGCGCGACATGCAGTGCCGAAATATCTAGAACCGAAATTAATTCCGTACATGATGTCTAAACGGGAGTCAACATGGTCGCAGCAAAAATTGTGACCAATCTCGTGGGCCAGTAACGACACTATACCATACGTGCTCTTTGTCAACGGTGATACGATAGCGGAGTTACTGGATTTTCTACACGCCCCTCCAAAATACGCACTTCTCTACTTTTGTCAGTGCCGTGGAACTTACCTTGCAGAACGAATTTTGGACTTTTGAGGGCAGAAATCGACATACTCGCCCATTTCTAAGACTCGTGATGTCATCCGATTTTCGAAATTGGTTTCCCATCCTGTTGAAAAGTGTAAATAAGTGTGTGGAATAAATGATAAACACAAAATTACACCTCGTTGTCGCTTACATACACATCTCCTAGGCAGTGCAACACACGCAACCAAGCCGTCCCCATCAAAGAGAGCGCAACATCTGACTGGTGGCAGGGGTGAAAGGCACTCTTTACGCGGTCCAGATAATAGATTTACAACAGTAACAGAGGACCAAGATTATACACCAGAGAGTGAAATAGAATCTTGGCAGAATTCACCATATACATCTCACCGTCGGGTACCCAAGAATATGTACGATATAGTTACATCTGAGATGTCTAGTAAAAGCTAAACTATTCACCGCCATACCCAATGTTTTGAATTAAAAAATTTAAAAAATGATTATCCCTATGTAGTAGTAGACTGAAATATTTTTGTAAAAAAAGTAAAATAATCTCACACTTCTGAAATCTGAAGTTCTGTCACGCAGAATTAATTATGTTTCCGTTTTTGTTCTTGTTTGTTTGTTTTTTTTAAACAAAACAATAACAATAGTTAGGTATAAAAGAACTTAAATATTTATTTACATACCTCCTCGCATAGCCTGATGTGTTTTTCTATACCTTTTTCAATTACCAAAAAAAAAACTGTTTTTGTTTTTGACTTTATATGAGGTCCAGTCGGCAGTCGGCCACTGGTCACTCGCCAGTACCCACTGTCCCCAGTCCTCTCTACTAGAGAGAGTCCCCAACTCCCACCAGCCGGTAACTGCTATCGCCCATCATAAGCCATCAGGGCCATGCCACAGGCCATTTCACAGATTGAAAAAAATAATACTTGTAGCCTTTTAGGCATCAACATTCAACAATAAAATAGTTTTAAAAAACCGAGAGAAGGCTATTCAGCGGTGGCTGCTGTGCTGCAAATGGTACGCTCTAGAGTAAGGTATCTAGTAGATTCAGCTCCTTATTTAGGTTGTAGAGTCCTGTCGAGTCTCGAGTCGTTGAGAGTCGAGAGTACTCGAGTCTTCTTTTTATTAAACATAATTACGAAAAGTTGTGACTTTTCTTTTTAAAAATGAGAATAGCGCTGTCTAAGACTGCCGCGAAGGTAAGTGAGACGTGAGTATCTCAGGGAATGAATTCGAAAGTCGACATTTGAAACTTGAAAGTTTTGAAACAGCAAAACTCATTTTCAGAAGGCTAAACACATCCAACTATTGAGAACTATTTATTTTAGAGTAGTTCAGCAAACAATACTTGAAAAAATAAATAGAATGTAGACTCAGGAGGAAATCTTGGAGGTCCAGATTCCAGAGTCTGGAGTCCATACTTTAAGTGATGTATATATAATTATATATATATTTAAAATTATTTATATATATGTTATTTCTGTACACTCGAGTGTCTTAGACTTTAGAGTGGGCGAATCTACTAGAGTCAGAGTCAGAGAGTAGAGAATAGTAGCAGTGTAGCACGCATCTAATTAGTAATTATAGTTGCGCATTTATTTGTTGATACATTTAATTCTTGTTTTGTTTTCAAAAAACCAAACCAATAAAACAGAACAAAGAAAACATCTTTTATATATATATATATATATATTATTTTTTTTTTTTACATATGTCTGTCGGAATTCTGAAATGTTTGTTGTGCATTTTTTATCAAATATTTAGCATTTTTTTTTTACATGACAGTCAAACATCGATTGTTGTCCAGCACCCGTTTTCAGCAACAATTTGGTCAATAATCGGAGTGGACCCAAGACCCATCAAGCACAGGCCTTAGGCTCTATTTCAGGGCAAAATACTTACTCCATTCGACATGCATTTTAATTTCTTATTGTTCACTAATAAGCAGCAAAAATTCAAATTATATTTTATATTTAGTAGAATCTACTATAGCCAACAGGTTTCACTAGAATCTTCTATAGAAGTGTTTATAGCTTATTAGATTGATTGTTACAGTTGTTCAATTCTGCAATGGAGGTGGTGGCTTGCATGTTTGTTGTCTTGAAGCTTCACTGAAGCTCGAAACAAGAAGTGCAGTTATATTTACCAACTGTGAATATCGGTCTCAGGGATAATGAATAATATTGTCCCTAAGGTGGTGCTAAGGTCTTAGAGTAATTAGAGGCTTAAAAGTAGACTTTGAAGTTCAATGACATCAAAGTAAATTAAACAAAACTAGTACTTTATTAAAGTCAGGTATACCTCGTGAAAACAGCATTACTCTGAGGGATTATGAGACGGAGACATTGCCTATGTAGAATCCTCTCCGTACTGTTTCCGCCGAAGGGATTTTATTTAACTTTTCGTTGTTCGCTAGTCGAAACTATCATTCTGTCTCGTTCGAATCTGATAGACTCTTAAAATCTTACCATTCGATAGAGATAATCAGTGAGTGGATATGCATTCACAACAAACCAATACAATTAATGACGATATCGAAGGTGGATAACTAACCATGATATCTCGCTTTTTCTGTTGGAGCAAGGATACCAATAAATTCGGCTGTACTTCCATCACAGCTAAACACTGTGACAGGGTTTTCTACCACTGTAGAAATACGATCTCCGGTCTAAGTCTTAAATATCAAAATCAAATAGGATTTTAGTTACTGAGATTAGATACCATTTACGTTGGATGCATAATAATATATTTCACGCCTCGAAACACTTCTCCAATCAAACTAACCAACTTAATATATCTAAGTCCAACCTAAGAAAAATAAAAAGTAAAAGAAAAGAACCACAAGGCTGGTGCAGTTAAATGTCTGTGTTGATTCCGCCTAAGATACTTCTAATACAGGCAAACCAGCACATACCGAGTGCATCCGTGGGGGGGGGTACCTTCGGTCTGTTCATGGACCCCATCCGAAACTCTGATCGTACCGACAACGTGCTGTACTACGATGTTACCCTCAAAGGAATCGTGTACGGTGCACTACTCAACGAGACAACCGATGGAGCCTCGTGTAGTTCGTGCATGCCGCTGGACGTTCTCAACAACCAGTACGGTCACGGGGTGAGATTGTGCCTTCAGCCAAGGTCGCATGCATCGGCTGCAACTACGGAAACAGCGGATCGTCGTCATCGGATCTTTAAGCCTCGTACTTTTCTTCGGGCGCAGAGGTCGCCAAGTCAATCACGGTGTTCGGTGCAATTGCGTTGGTCCTTGTGATGGCCGCCATGGCCATGTTCTAGATTTGGTTTTGGACGAGCTAACTAGCTAAAGAGCAAAATCGAGGCCTTTTCGTTGAATAAAAGTCGATTTCAAAAAAAACAAAAAACAAGTGTTAAACATTTTGAATAGAATAGAAACGATCTGGGTCATAGTTTTACTTTTCGTATCGCTCGCTGTTGGGATAATCATTACAGTAGTATTGTTGACTAGCAGTAACACTGTAGACACGCACGTGCCACAAATGGAGGGTGGCTACTCTGACAATGATCCTATAGTAGACGATTTCGACGACTTTGTGCCGCCAAGTTCGGGGCCATGAAATTCGGTGGCGGCAATTGCGTTGGTCCTTGTGATGGCCGCCATGGCCATGTTCTAGATTTGGGTTTGGACGAGCTAGCTAGCTAAAGAGCAAAATCGAGGCCTTTTCGTTGAATAAAAGTCGATTTCAAAAAAAAACCAAAGTGTTAAACATTTTGAATAGAATAGAAACGATCTGGGTCATAGTTTTACTTTTCGTATCGCTCGCTGTTGGGATAATCATTACAGTAGTATTGTTGACTAGCAGTAACACTGTAGACATGCACGTGCCACAAATGGAGGGTGGCTACTCTGACAATGATCCTATAGTAGACGATTTCGACGACTTTGTGTCGCCAAGTTCAGGGCCATGGAATTCGGTGGCGGTGCAGAATCGTACGGTGACCGATACTATGCCCATGAGTGGACTGACAAAGGGGGGCAGGCTGCACTACATTCGCCTGTACGCCGATAATTGCTACAATGGAACTGACGTGACGTTTGATAAGCTCGACAAGGACTTTGAAAATCTGGAGCCGGGTGTGAATGCAATTGTGTGCCTATACTTTGTGGACGGTCCGGACCGGAACAAGACGTCCTCGTAGGCGACAACAGGGGATGAAAAGGGCACAAACGACTGGAGCGACCCCAACATGATGGAAATGGTGCCAGAACTGTTTGAAAATCTGACTACGCATTTGCGCGCCGAAAAGAGGTGGCTGCAGCTGGGGTTTGGGTTCTGGAGCAATTTCCACGTGTCTAGAATTACCATGAAGCCGGGCGTGAACTTTCCCACCGCGGAGCAGATCGACACGCTGTTTAGTATTGTCAAGGCCCACCGAGGTACGCTGCAGGTCGCGGTGAGTGTTGGGGTCGGGGATGACGAGTACCAACTGAACGACAGTTTCCGAGCGGACACAGGGGGTACGATTCCGCGTACGAAACCAAGCTGTACAATGGGTGCAATTACGACGAGCGCGTGTATACGATGAAGGGCGGTGAGTTCTCAAACGGCGAGGGTACACTGGACTCAATTATGGACATGACGAAACAGCTGATGAAGAAACGGGCGATGCACTACATTATGCCAAACGGGACTTCGGAAATCATGTCGTCTAGTAGTAGCAAGGTCCAAGAACTTTCGGCGTATATGGGCTACCGCCTTAAGGTCGCGTCCGTGGACACGATTAGCGATGGATACACGCGACTGATGGTTACGAATGTTGGGATTGGGCCGACGCTGTACGACCTCAATGTTGTGCACGAGAATGTCACGTTTGAGCCGGCCCTAGTCCGACTAAATCCGGGGGCGAGCAGGTATGTGTATGGTAAGATTATTGTGGGTGACAATGCGTCGTTTGAGGCGGAGGGGTCAAGATATTTGGGAGGCGTCAAGCTCTTATAACCTCAATAATCGAACCATGCAGTAAATACTGTGGCTGAGCGATTACTGTTTTATCGTAAACGCGATTACTGTTTTATCGTAATGTAAACTTCGATGTATGTAAACTTCGATGGAAATTACTAGGTTTCAAACTATATTAAACTAAAATACAATTTAGTTTGAAACCTAGTAATTTCCATCGAAGTTTACACATTTTTCAGTTAATGTATTAACGTGACTTACGTTATTATGTCTATCTACAAATTAGGCATGTGGTCATGAACACTTAGTACTTCTAGTGAAAATTATTCAACAAAGAACAGCTAGAGGTACGCCTTGTGTGATTGAGGATATTTAGGCTCTTAACAAGAGGCAGTCCCGATCATTTTCTTACACAAGCTACCACTGCTAAATCCTAACTGACTAAATTGTATTTTAGTTTAATATAGTTTGAAACCTAGTAATTTCCATCGAAGTTTACAGTAGGGGGACGTAGGGGGGATATTGTTTAGCAGGAAGTTACAAAAACAAAAAATCGAAAAGCGTTCGGGGTTACAGAAAGCCTTATTGTTTAACATGTCAACAACAATGGAGCACCCTACTACTGATGAATCTTGGTGCATCGTCGAGAACTGTCCAGCACAGATCGATACCGAGGCCAATGATATCATAGGGATTTCTTCAATCCACGTCGTTGGAGATCGGACAGTGGCAGGTACATTCTTGATAGGTGTTGCGAATACACAGACGGTCTACAATTCTATTCCAAATGAATACCGGGTGAAAATCAATATCAACAGCACTGGTTTGTTTACATCGACACTACGGGAATCATGATGTATCTCATGTCCTCGACCACATATATCCAGTGGACCATGAACATTGGCACAGCCTACTCCACAAGTGACGTTGCGAAGATCCGGGATCTCGTAAAGCCGGTGCTTCAGGCGACTCTGGGGTCCAGAGGCATCTCAACGATTGATAGTGGCATCATGTCTACAAGTATGGCAACATCCACCGCCGAATGGTCGAACATAGTGTCTCATTCAAAGATGCGGATCTTAAATATGCCGTGTACATTGTGTTACACATGACCAGTACAGCGGAGCGGGCAGTCTCCTCGCTGATCAGTAGTCACTCGGCAGCGACAAGGTTTGCGATGAACAAGTACCGTGAGATTTTCTCCGTACCTGCCGCTATGGCAAAGTCCCTGCTTGACGAGATTGTCCAAACCTGTCACCAGGTCTCGGCTGGTGGATTCGTGGAGGAGCAGCGGCTGGCGGCTGAGTTGGAAAGAATTAAAGAAGTATCATCGTGGACAACAAGTTGCATGAGAAGACGCGAGCCACGGTCGGCCCTACGTGCTTCAGAAGAAGCACGTAAGGCTGCGGAGGATGTACGCTTAGACCTGAGCCAGAGACTCGCATCGTCACAAGCGCAGCTCATTGAGCTTGCCATGCTGGCCCCGGCTCGCAAGCGGGTTAAAAACTACTAAAAGGGATTTTTGAAACAATTTTTTGAAGTCAAATTTTGATCCTCAGTCTCTGGTCAAGTTTCCGGGGCTTAGAATTTGAAACAGGTTTTGAAACAGTTTTTGAAACAGTTTTTGAAGCAATATTTTGAAGTCAAATTTTGATCCTCAGTCTCTGGTCAAGCTTCCGGGGCTCAGAATTTGAAACAGTTTTTGAAACAGTTTTTGAAGCAATTTTTCAAAGTCAAATTTTGATCCTCAGTTCCCGGGGCTCAGAATTTGAAATATTTTTCGAAGAAATTTGTTTTGAAACAGTTTTTCAAGAAAGTCTGCATAAAAATATGGTAGTTTCCAGTTTGGTAAAAAATATATGGCATTTTCGCGTTTGAAAAAAAGAAGGGGTTTTTTTACGTCAAAACAAGGCAGATCCGACCAAAGCATGCCGGATCACGATGAATCGTAGCAAAGTAACAGCCTCAATTTTGGCCTTCAAACCGACTAGTCTCTCCGAGTCTCGGTGTCACCGCTTTATACGTACACCATAATCCACACCACGATCAACAAGGTGCATGCCACTTCTCTTCACATAGCATGCACAATCTTGTTTCAGCTTTGGGTACGATAGTTGTTTTGCACTTGGTGCAACTAAAGTCTGGAAGTCGTGGCACTCCTGTAATTGCTGAAGGAGGTCAGGGCCAATGGGTGGCAGTTTCGGGCCTACCAGGATGTGTCGAATCAGTTGTTGGATGCAGGTAAAGTGGCTGGTAGTGAACTTGTGGCTACCTGGGCAGACAGGGCAGAGACAGCCGTCGGTGCGGTAGTCGAGCATTCTGAACATGTACGTATTCGTTACAATCATAGCAAAGAGCCGGATTGGTGTAGACTCGAAAGCGATTGAAGCTGTCGTGTCTGGCTGTGTCTCGGTTTGAGGTTGGCGGTTTACCCATAACAGTTGGTAGTAGTATTGGCGCCGGGCCATTGCCGCGATCTCCTTGTTGGACCAACGTTTTGTTGAGTTCTTCCTGACATAGTGAGATAGAAATTTACTAATAAAGGCCCATAACTTAATAAGTTAATCAACTATTTGAAATTGAAGAACTAAACTTTATTTAATATTTGCCTTGAAATGTATAATAAATTTTTGATGTGAAAAGTGAAAATATGGTTTGAGCGGATCCAAGATAATTTGTTGTCTACGATATGTAAAACCTAGCCTAGATTGTGAAAAACCCAGTTTGGCATATTCCATAGATGAGTCATGTTTAGGCAGGCTCAATACTACAGGCTACAGGCCTACAGCCCCTACTTCTTATTCTTCTTTCTCAGTGACCTAATTTTACAAATGTCGCTTTCACAGTCCCCGCGGCGTCCCAGCCGTATTTTATCAAAATATCCATCTGGGTAAAGCTCAAAATTCTTTTTCTATCTACGAAAAATAAGAAGAGCAAAAAGAAACAACAGGAAATTATAAAATAAAAAAAGTTAAAACGAAAATGGAAAATCCAGCAACAAGAATGCAGATCGGGAGATCCAAGATCCATGTGTGGATATAAAATTCGGATCATCGAACACTGTTCTTTTTCAAAAGAATTGTTTAAAAAGATAAAAACATCCCACTAATACTATATATTGGTTTTGTTTTAAATTTAAATACATGTCGAATGGAGCCAGTATTTTGCACTGAAATAGAGCCTAATGGCCGTGCATGTATGAATATTGGGTCTTGAGCCCTTTACTGTAACACATACCAGTTTTGTCCACTCCGATTATTGATCAAATTGTTGCTGAAAACGGGTGCTGGACAATAATCGAGGTTGTTCCGTACATCTAAAAAAAGATGCTAAAAATTTAATAAAAATTTGCACGACAAGCATTTTGGAATTCCGACAGACATAGGTATAAAATAATAATATAAAAAAGATGTTTTCTATGTAGTGTTTTATTGGTTTGTTTTTAGTGCTTTTAGAAAAAGAGTGAAGGCGGTGTGACCGTGTGTCATGTGACCCGTGCCACGTGCGACGGTGACTATGAGTGTGAGCCTGTGATGAGGCTTAAATAATTCAGACTTCCAAAGTTCCAAGGGCTATGCCGGGATTGCCCGCAAAGGTTTTAAAAAAAGTTCGAAAATGAAAAAAAAAATGCCGTACATATGTACAACGTATTTATTTAAATATATTTGTTTTAAAAATACATAGAGCTGTCCGCTATAGAAATGAAAAGAATATAAGTATACAACTATAGCCTAATTAGGGAAGTTAATTTAAAAATAATAGCGCAACTATAATTAGTAATTAAATGCGTGCTACATTGATACTGTTACTCTCTAAATAGCTCTGACTCTACTAGTAGATTCGCCCAATGTAGTCTAAGCGACTCCTCGAGACTTCGAGAGTACTACTGTTCATATAAAACCCTTAAGTTTTGGCTTTTGCATGGCCTTCTAGAGAAAAAAGAGTTTTGCTTTTTCAAAACTATCAAGTTTCAAATGTCGACTTTCGAATTCATTCCCTGAGATGCTCAGATACTCGCGTCTCACCTCTCGCGGCAGTCTTAGACAGCGCTATTCTCATTTATAAAAAAAAAAGATCTTTTCGTAATTTTGTTTGATAAAAAAGAAAAGAAAAAAGAAGATGTCTCGAGTTCTCGACTCTCCGCCTCTCCAGCTCTCCAGCCTCCGCTCTCGACGACTCCAGACTCGTCCGTCGCTACTCGACTTATCATAACTCTAGAAGAGGAAGAGAGCTAAATCTACTGAATACTTTATTCTAGAGAGTAGCATATGCTGACCACAGCCACCGCCGAAAAGCCTTCTCATTTATTATTATTGTTGAATGTTGGAGCCTAAAATCTAAAAAGGCTACCAGTATTTTTCAATCTGTGAAATGGCCGATGGCACGGCCGATGGCATGGCCCAGGGCTCCTGAGCCTAATTAAGCTCAATGCGTTAAAAGCCGTAACTTTTATTTTGCCTCGCATAAACATTAAAGTTGTAACCTTTATTTCACAATAGTACACTCAAATATGTTAGGTGCATTTTCCAGGTCACTCAGGTGACAGTCGTCACAAATGAAACGCGCAATCTCTTTTGATTGCCTATTATCAATTTCGTGACCTAAAATTTTCAACGATCGGACAGTTTATTGAGTGTAGTTTACAAAATAGCTTTGTAGTTGATTTGTCCTAAATAGAAGTTATACCTTTTTTAAAAAAAATCAAAAAGTCAACATTAAAGTTGGACCTTTATATTTCGTACCCCTATAACTTATTGAGCTTAGCCTTGAGCCCCTGGGGGCTGAGGCCTGAATGACGGAGCCCTGAGGCTAACCTCATATCGTTATAAATAAGTTGCAACGCAAAGAAATGATCCGTTAAACGTTAAAGATCAAACATTTACTTCCATTTCAGTGTCCCGTCTATAGCCGTAGGCCATATTTCAGGTCAGGCAATAGTCATATTATCAAATACACACCAGTATAAATACGTTGCAACGTTAAAAAATAATCTGTTAAATGTTGAAAAGTCAACTTTTAAATATTTTTGCCGATGTGAGGTGAGGCCTGAGGCCTGAAGGCATGGCCCTGATGGCTTATGATGGGCGATAGGCGATAGCGGCTGCCGGCTGGTGCTGGGGACAGTGAGGACTCGGGGAGTGGCGACTGGCGAGTGGCTGACTGCCGACTGGGCCTCATATTTAAGTGTAAAGTCAAAAACAAAAACAGTTATATTTTGGTAATTGAAAAAATTATAGAAAAACATATCAGGCTATGGAGCGTTAGCGAGACAGCGACTCAGCGGATTGTTTTATTTCATACATATGTAAATATGTACTAAATACATGCATATTGTTAAATATGTACTAAATACATACATATTGTTTTTTTTTGTAAACAAAACAAACCAACAAAAACAAAAACGACAACAAAATTAATTCTGCGCGACAGAACTTCAGATTTCAGAAGTGTGAGACTATTTTACTTTTTTTATACAAAATAATTTCAGTCTACATACACTTGTGTAGGGATAATACTTATTTATTATTTATTTCAATACAATGGGTCTGGTGATGATATTTACTGGAAAAGAACATTTTGTATGTGAATAAATCTTTAATCCAAAATCGGCTTTCATCACGGGATTTGGATTTGTGTGCAGAAGCCAAAACCGTCATATCATTATCGGCCATTTTTGGAACCGGCCATAATCTGACTTGGACTCTAAAAGTGTGTGCAATACTGCAAATACATACGAAATATATGCTCAATACGCTTGTAAGTAAACTGGTGTTTATTGCAGTCTTCTTGAATCACCGTCGGGTACCCGACGGTGAGAAGTATGGTGAATTCTGCCAAGATTCTATTTCACTCTCTGGTGTATAATCTTGGTCCTCTGTTACTGTTGTAAATCTATTATCTGGACCGCGTAGAGAGTGCCTTTCACCACTGCCACCAGTCAGATGTTGCGCTCTCTTTGATGGGGACGACTTGGTTGCGTGTGTTGCACTGCCTAGGAGATGTGTATGTAAGTGACAACGAGGTGTAATTTTGTGTTTATCATTTATTCCACACACTTATTTACACTTTTCAACAGGATGGGAAAACAATTTCGAAAATCGGATGACATCACGAGTCTTAGAAATGGGCGAGTATGTCGATTTCTGCCCTCAAAAGTCCAAAATTCGTTCTGCAAGGTAAGTTCCAGGGCACTGACAAAAGTAGATTTCGAAACAAGTACAAATCCAAAAATGTGTCTGGGTGATCTTCTAAATCAGGTCGTGAGTATTTTCCATAATTTAACGTCCGAATCGGGTCACTATTAGTGTGTGCTGTGCCTAGCTGAAAAGTAGGGGCTATAGTTTCCTGTAAATATCATCTTTAAAGAAAAAGCGACTGCAAAATAGCAAAATGGGAAAACTTTCCTCATATTTTATAAATACTTTCAAATGTCGTGGCATCTCGTGGAGTCGTGGAATCTCGTGGAGTCGTGAACTCGTGAGTCGTGAACTCGTGAGTCGTGGAACTGTGATAAATTGATAATCACTGATCCTGTGAGCGTGGTTTTATCTATTTAAAAAAATAATAGAAGTAATATATATATTTTGTATGCAAAAAAAAGGTTTGTATGTAATACGTACTGTATGTATGTCAAAATGTACTTGTATCTAAAAAAACAAAAACATAGTAGTTTCTCTTTTGGTTTTGTTTGTTATCTTAAAAAAATGGAAAAGAAGAAAATTGGTTTAAAGATTTTCTTAAAACAATAAGGAATTATAGAAATATAAAATATGTATCAAAAGCCGAAGCGCTGTTCAATTTCAGAAGACTACTTATGGCTTTGCCTTTTCACATGGCCTTTCAAGGCTTTCAGTGTGATAAATTTCTAATGTTCTATTTTATGTATTAAAAAACAAATATGTACAGTACATATGTGGTATCACGTGTCTAGCCTTTTGTAGTGCTTTATTTTGTTAACAAAAATGAAAAGCCGCTCCATATCAAACACATATTTTATTAAAAAAATAACTATTTTGATTTTGCCTTCTAAAAAAGATTCTGTTTCATTCTGTTTATGTTGTTTGGTTTAAAAAAATAATTTCATAAATGATAAATATTTAGGCTTCTGCATCGCCTTCTCTTGATATTTAGACATTCTGTGTAAATACTTTATTTTTGGTTTTTGTAAAGAAAAAATCGTATAATATTTGTAAAGCACAAAAAGAGCTGTCGTTCTGCTGTATGACTTTTATGTTGCCAAAAAAACTTACAGCGCTTATAGCAGCAACTTTTATTGCTGTTGCCTGCAATCTGCATAGCCTTCTGAAAATTGAACACTGACATATTTTCATCACACTGACATATTTTCATTTATAAATGGATGCATAGATACGCATCATCAGCACTATTCAGTATTCACACATTGTGAGCAAGAAAATGTGGAAGACATTGATTATCAGTGCGTTGATCGCCCTCTGGTTAGAGCCCAGTTGCGCACAGAAGGATACGGACGAGATATCTCTGTATCAAAATCAACACAATCTTAAAAATCCACCAGTGAAGAAGTACTCTAAAGCTTTCAAGAGTGGCGACAACGTAGGTTTGTATGTTGACATAGAGGGTGAGCAAATACTTTTCCGGCTGGAGGAACAACCAATAGCCCCGCTAGACGGAAAAACCTTACAATATACTTATAACTGTTATTCTGAGGCGCACGAAGATATTGATTGTAGTGCAGCGCTTACACGAGGGGGCGATGTGTGGAGCATGTTTGTGTTTTGGGGAAACGATACATGGATATTTGAAGGAGTTGGAGGAGGAATGTCGATGGTATATAAATCAACAGACATGGTGGAATCGGACTTCCAGGATCTTGTGGTAGGCATAGAGGATACTGTGGTAGGTCGATCAACATTAAATCGTCGAGAAGCAAACGGCGAAGTAAAAGGAGCCGGGATAGCGTGGAGTCAGGCACTGAACTTGGCACAGAACGAAGACGGAGGAGAACAGCTCGTTGACGGACCCAATTTTGGCTATTCATCGGTACAAGCTCATCATTCACGAGACCGCCGTAGCACTTTCAGAACAATGCATCTCCGAATCACATACGACAAAGCTTATTTGACTAAACTAGCCGAAAAACTAAACCTGGGTACACCAGAAGCCACTATCACACAAGCAGATACGTACACGATGTTGTTGTTGAATCACGTCAACACTATCTTCGTCCCTCAGGTGGGTATCAAGTTCGAAGTATATTCAGAGTCTCGGGTGCCAAGCAGCAACTGGCCCGATGGAAATTACGGATCTGATGGCAGCACGGAGAGCAATGTGACGCTGAAAAGATTTAACGCAGATGTGAACGACAACACTGACGATCTCAATGTCCTATTCTCAGGGTTGTCAATGGGCCTCACTATTGGAAGTGCGTATCTTGGAGGGGCGTGTAGAAAATCCAGTAACTCCGCTATCGTATCACCGTTGACGCAGAGCACGTATGGTATAGTGTCGTTACTGGCCCACGAGATTGGTCACAATTTTCGCTGCGACCATGTTGACTCCCGTTTAGACATCATGTACAGAATTAATTTCGGTTCTAGATATTTCGGCACTGCATGTCGCGCTTCAATCTCACAGCATATCGAAGCCATTGAGAAAAATGTAAAAAAGCTGTATATGGATACTTGTTTTGAAAAACAGACAGATAGCAATCCGTGCTTCGCAGAGGGGGTGTGCGGACAAGGTCTTTGTATCAGGGAGACCGGTACCGATGGCAAAGGGTACAGGTGCAAATGTGAGGACTCTGGGTATGAGGGTGACGATTGTGACGAACTTATCGATAACTGTCACTCGAATAATTGCCCAAATGAAGCCACTTGCGTTAATTTGTTGAATAGTTACACGTGCGACTGCTCAACTGGATTTTCGGGATTCTATTGCCAGTTTGAGTTATGCGATGCTGTCGGCAGTCAGTGTCGTGAAGGAAAATGCACTGATGGAGAAGAGGGCTACACGTGTAACTGTGATGGAACAGGTTTCACAGGTAAAAACTGCGGGGATGACATCGATGAGTGTGATAAAATCTCATGTGAAAATGGAAGGTGCATTAACCTTGCGGGCTCGTACAAGTGTGAATGTGATAGTGGTTACGAGATCTCGGGGGGTACTTGTAAAGACATTAATGATTGCGCCGATGATCCGTGTGGTGCAGGAGAGACCGGAAAGTGCATCGATGAAGTGGGTGGTTATAGATGTGAATGTTATTCAGGTTACACAGGTAAAAATTGCGATGTAGACATTGATGAGTGTAAGAATGTATCGTGTGGGAATGGAGTATGCAAAGATCGTGTTGGCTCGTACGAGTGCGAATGTGAAACGGGGTTCGGAGGAATTTTGTGCGATCAGTTTGACTTTTGTGCGGAATCGCCATGTTTAAACGGCGGCGACTGCACTTCAAACGACACAGGATACACGTGTAAGTGTGCAGACGGCTACACAGGTACAAGATGCGCCGTGGACATAAACGAATGTCATGATCCGACAACGTGCGTTAGAGAGAACTTAAAGACCTGTATCGATCAAGTCAATGGTGTTGAGTGTGTTTGTAAACCTGGCTGGGGTGGTGACAGATGTCAAGACAACACATGCGATTGTGGGGCTGGAGCATGTGACGAGGATCATTTTGGAGAACCTATATGCCGATGTCCTTCAGGATGGAGCGGTGTGAAATGCGAGGCCCCACCCACTATGGATGCCACAACAGGGCTTAATGTGTGTGCCGGAGAGCCATGCGGGTCCAATGGTAATTGTCGCACTGTTGATCAGGGAGATGGTAACACCGAGTTTGAGTGCTCGTGCTTCGGGGGATATACAGGCAAATATTGTGATCTTGCTACATATGATCCGTGTGCTAGTAATCCTTGCAACTTCGCAGGAGATTGCCGTGCATCCAGTTTCGGCACTTTCTCGTGTACTTGCGTGCCTGGTAGATATGGCGATCTCTGTGAATACGATGTCAACGAGTGTGACCCTGATCCTTGTGTGACAGGAACCTGCAGTAATAGGCACAATGGATTTGTGTGTATATGTCCTCCAAATTTTACAGGCGAAACCTGTAATACGTTAGTGCATACATTACAAGAGGGTGGTGCTTCAGTCATCCCGTAGTAGTCGCTAGTGGAACATCTGAGCAGCAAGTAATATGACAAAGAACTCGTGCTTTAGGAAGTAGAATAAAGGACATGAAACACGATGCAAGAATGCTAATTCCAACACGATCTATAATTTCTTGTTGGCCGTACTTTGAGCCATTCAAGTGAATCGACATATTCCGAAGTTTATGTGTGAATATGAATATAGCCCAAAATGATTGGATATGCATCATAATATATTATAGCCAGTATCGCACTCTAAGATAAATGAACCCAGTATCACTCTATAAGATATATGAACCCAGTATCACTCTAAGATATATATGAACCCAGTATCACTCTAAGATATATGAACCGATATGCATAATAATTTGTAATACCAAGAAATATATCAAAAACAGCTACTTGAGACTGTACTCTCCTCCAGTACCACTTGACCAACAAATTGAAATTCGATACACAGCTGATATGTGTGGAGGTCAGGTCGTATAGTTTCACTATTTTATTGGCTTTTGCATACATTCTAATTCAGATAGATTTACCTACGTGACTGGAGTGTGCACACTGTATTCACACGGATGCTCATGCGGACATGTGTATGTCTGCATGCATCATTGTGCGTATATATATATATATATATATACAACTACACGCACCATAGCATGTACATGCTCTAAATTACTCGTGCCTTGCTCATACTATGGACAGCGCAAGCATTCCATTAGTAGACAAATACAGGTGAGGCGAAACAATACACCTTACATCTGCACCTTATCTAATTTCCACCTCATTTTCTTCTGTTCGATATATATATATATATACATACATAAATATATGAATTTATACTCATATATACGTTAGCTTCAATATATATATGCTAGCTAAAGTAACTTCCCACTTTACTCCGCTCCCTGCTACGGAAACGGCTGGAACTCAACCCAGTCGAAATCGAAGACATCTGGTTGACCCATGTGTGTGATATTCTCATAGGCTTTCCATGTAAACACGGGCTGTTGGTCGCTTGTAGGTCCGTTGACAGCCCAGAATTTCATATCCCGTCCCATGGCGATGTTCGTGACCTTCGCGTCGATTGCTCCGTCGAGTTGAAACTTTTCCCCTTTGGCCAAATCCCAACGCCCGGCGACAGCATTGCCTGTTTACATAATCAGGGTTATAGATATTTCCTTAATCAGGGTTATGGATATGATGAGCTACGGGGGCAGTGGAGAGGCAGCAGGATATTGAGCGAGCTTCCCTTCCGACTCAGTTGTGTCGTTGAGTGTTGTCAATGCAATGCCTCGTGCATTCGTAGCGTAAGTATGCAAAAACCTACAAACCCTAAAACAGTGTAACACCCATGCTACAAGACAAACCAATGCAACACCCACCCATGTTACATGACAAACCAATGCAACACCCATATTACAAGACAATAAATCGGCACGTCCCTACCTGGTTGGCCCAGTGACAGCGGATCGTTCTCGTAGTCGTTGTACCGCAGCATGCGCTTCATCGAGTCCATATCCGTCACCGACGACTGCTGCTGTCTGAAGATGTTTGCGCGTGGGCACTTCTCGTGTGACCACTCGTCGCCCCCTTTCTCGTACTTGTCGCTCCATCCGCTCTTTTCGTAGATCTCGGGGAAGTACGGTACATTGTATGAGGCCCAGTAGCCATCTTCGTTGAGTTGCTGTGATACAAAGACCAGACAGACCCTTTCAGTGAGACGACAGGCTTCTTGCAATAGGCTGGGTAAATGTGTTTGTGTGGTGTGTCGTGCAACAGATGGGGTGTGAAAGAGTTGACCAGTGGAGGGGTTGCTATAGAAACACAACACCGACATCTGGGCGAACAAATGCACAGCGCTGATGCAATACGTTCACGGGAGAAGACGCACACAAGTACAACCCCACATATCCACAATATTATAATACAAGGATATGTGCATATATATATATATATATATGTATTCGCGTACATACCATAGTGGCATGACGCATATCAAATTCCTTGTAGACCATGATAACGAGCGCAGAAAAAAAAAGTGTGGCGTCTGTGTCCAAGTATCCATATACCAAACCACGCACATATGCTCATCCATTCGCGTTCCTATACCCAACACACCTGGGTCATATCTTGGTATCGGATGATGCCTGGCAACTGCTCGAGGACATAGAATGACTTAGGCGGCAGGTCCTGGCCCGCAGTGAACTGATTGAGATCGAGTACCATCCACTGACTGTCGTACGTGCCTGAGTTGTGGATTCCTGCAGCAAGTGCGTGAAAACAAAGCACGTGTGAGGTACTGACATGTTGTGTAAACAGTGTCGTTATATGGGGGTGTTGGAGTGTTCTATAGGTATAATGGCGAGTACAGATACCTGCATATGTACTAGTTGTATATGTATAAGTTTGTGTGCGCTTTACGATGGCATAACAGAAAGTTGCACGGCGGAGTTATAAGATAAACTACGAAACACCACTGTACACCCCACATGGCACTACAACTTATAGAAAGTACACAAACACTCACTCAAAAATAAATATATACAGAGACTCACTCACACATACATGTATACAGACACTCACACTTACACACATATATATAACCACTCACTCTCGCACAAACATATACAACCACTCACTCACACACACAAATTTACAACCACTCACTCACACACACACATATACAACCACACACTCACACACACAAGTATACAACCTTTCACATTCACACACAAGTATACAACCACACACACATACACACATACAACCACTCACTCACACACACACATATACAACCACACACACACACAAGTATACAACCACTCACTCACTCACATTTACAACCATTCACTCACACACATATACAACCGCTCACCCACACACACATATATACAACCACTCACATACACATATATACAACCACTCACATACACAAGTATACAACCACTCACTCACACACACATTTACAACCACTCACACACACATATATACAACCACTCACATACACAAGTATACAACCACTCACTCACACACACATTTACAACCACTCACACACACACATATATACAACCACTCACTCACGCACACACATATACACAACCGCTCACTCACACACACACATATACAACCACTCACTCACACATATACAACCACTCTCTCACACACACAAGTATACAACCACTCACTCACACACACATTTACAGCCACTCACTCTCGCACAAACATATACAACCACTCACTCTCTCACACACACACATACCAAAGATCTCAGACCACTCCTCAGGGTCTTCAGCCAAGAGATTGGCCACAGTACCTCTGATCCAACACGGGACGGACTTGTGGGTGATGGTGTGTGTCAGTGCGTCATTGTAGTTGTTGTTGGTTGTCTCCATCACAAGCAGGCCCGCCGTGGTTAGGTAGAAGTCATCCAGCGACCACAAGAACCCTGATGTGTAGTATAAAATACACATAAATATACATACACACACATATATATATGTATATATATACATACACACATACATACATATGTATGTGTATCACAAGTACCGGGACGCTAGACGACTGTCAGTTGTCTGTGTACAGGTCGACTGTCCTATCAGGAGGACGCCCCCATGAAACCAGCGATGACACGCATCTCATAGCAACAGGTGACTGTGTTGTTAGTGATGCATATACGTGCCAATTCTATATACACTGATTGTAGCTTACAAATGCCTCGTCTACGCCTCAACCAGCTATGGAGTCAGACCTTACCAGCTGTACAATATATAAATAAGCTGCAACATGTATGACTAAGGTGTAACATGCATACGTATAATTAAGCTGTAACATGCATAATTAAGCTGCCATGTATAACTAAGGTGTAACATGTATAATTAAGCTGTGTCATGAATAATTAAGCTGTAACCTATTTAATTCAATTGTACTATATACAGCCAAGCCAGAACACATACGATCAAACTGATATGGAAGTGGTGCATACAACTATAAAATAGTAGTGGTTGATACCCTGACAGTAGACCATATAACTACAGTGACTTACCGGGCGTAGAGCTGAACGAGATGGCATTGCGTTGCACCTCACACTCGCCTCTGGCTATCGACTCAGGACTGCACTGTAACCGGAAGTCGTACGTTTTCAATTGCCGTACCATCAGCTGGTAATGGTCCCAGGTTGCGTGGCCCATGAATATATCCGACTGTGTGTAGGGGCGTTGTTGTACTGGGTTAGCTATTGTAGGATTGCGTTTCATGTGTAATGAGTTGTCGGTTTGAAAACGTAATTGGTTTCAAACACAATTAGAACACTGATACTTTCAATGCGATGTGGTAATTACACAGTGTAGAGATGAGGGTTTTAGGGTTGAGTCTATAGAAAAGTCTACATATTCATAACGAAACAACATTCTAGTACTATAACCCGCACAAGAAGAAGAGTTCCAACCGAAACACTACATACAATCACAAACCGTCCTCCGATAGCATATATATATACACACACACACATATATATATCTATACATAAAGCATATCTCCAACACAGTACACAATCACCCACCTTGTCTGGAAGCACCTTGAACAGTGCACTACATCGATCGTTCTTGCGCTGCTCCTCCTGTCCGCTCTCCCATTCGTTCTGTTCCTGCTCAGCCTTCTCCTTCCTGCTTTCTTCGGTGTACATGGGCACCAAAGTCTCTAGATCACCGTCGGCGCTCAGCATGTAGATATCCACCTTGCTATTACGGGCATATAGGACGAGGAGAAAGTTAAGCTAAGAACATACAAGGATATCGTTGTATGTGAACTATAGCACCACTTGTATGCTTATATGTGTGTGTATGTATGTAACAGCGCAGTAAAAGGTCAAGCTAAGAACATACCGGAATAACATTTGTATGTGGACTATGGTATCACTTGTATGCGTATATGTGTGAGTGTGTATGTAACAGCGCAGTAAATTGTGCATTTTCCTAGACATGCGTATGCTCATGTATAACATATATATATATATATTATTATTTTTCCATATATAAATATTCATAGCCATGTGTATACTCACCTACAACACACTCTCTCCCACACACACTCAGGCTATGACTCACGTTAGTTCCCTTGCGGCATCTGCATGGTCTTGATAGCCCATGACCAAGCCATCTAGCTGATCGATGGTGTTGTTGACACCAGCCCAGAAAGCTCGTTCTCGCTGTGTCCAGTGATCGAGGTCGTGTTCCGCATTGTAGCCTTAAGTGGACAAGGCATCAGAGTGCATGAGTGTTGTGTCGGGTGTTATAACTGAGTGTATATGCATGTATGTCATCGGAACCAACCGAAGTTTTATGGAGAACATATCACACGGGTATACTACTGCCAGTAATAGTGACATTTGAACACGTGCAGTGTGCACTTTCGCTGTACACACTCTGATACTAAACCATTTGTAGCTACTTGAACCATAACTGCGCACAGGAAGTCGAAGCAAACTAATTCACCACAGTGTGACTAATACCCGACTTTGATATATTAATTACCTCAATAAATATACACCTGCCCCCACACAAAATAAAACAAGTTTACAGCTGTATCCCAGAACTTACGGGTCCATTCGATGTTGTCGGCGATCCACTCTTGCAGGCCAATGGGGATAAGCCCTCCATCGAACCAATCAGCACGCATGTTTACCCATGACGAGTATATGCTCTGCCACGTTAACATACCCTCGAGATAGCCTGCGATGAAAACAGGCGAATGTATATATAACACGATGAGAAACGAAGAGTATTGACTAAAGTTTGTAGTTTGTTTGGATGTGAACATGTCGAGGTCTTGCAGATACGGTCGCATCGCTCGACGGGGCGAGGGCATGACACACACACCTTTATCACAAGTAGCTGTGTATGCTGTAGGGTAGAACATAAAATATAGCTGACACGCGGTGTACAAACACCCATTGCAGCCACTGAAATGCGCGCGCGCACTTCATACTAAGGCGGCAACAGTAGATACATTTTTTCATGTATATGTATATATATGTATTTTGTTTGGGTCATGTGGTTGAGTACATGGATATTACACTGTGAATTGTAGTGTTGTTATGTGCGGCACTCCCACCCATTCGCAGATGATTGCTGTCGAGACATCGGCACATACACCTGACCACATCACAAAACAGCTGGCCAATGGTCCCAGATACTATCCAACGTTGTTTGGTTTGATACATATATATATACACACACACACACACACACACATCCATTCGCACATAGAAGCTGTTGTGACAACGGCGCATACCACTGATCACATCATAGAAAATGGTCCCAAATACTTTTTAACGTTGTTTTGAATACACACACACATACACATATATGCATATATATATATATCAATCCCACCCATTCGAACATAGATGCTGTTGAGACATCCGCACACACCACTAAATACATGAAACAATTAGACAATGGTACCAGATACTATCCAACGTTGTTTGAGAGAATTCGTGTCCTATCAATGTACGACCGGCACTATGCCACACTCACATGATACAGAAACGTAGGTGGTGAATTACACCCTACCGTAACCATGCAGGCATACATCTCACACATACGCACACACACAACTTGATAAAGTGGCAACATACCTGCGGCGAACAGAGCGCTCTCCACATTCTCCTTCTCTGACGTGGTGACCCATAATTTGTCCCATCCCGTTGTGTTGTACTCATTTTTGAACGACGCTGCTGCCGCTGCGCCCTTGTCCGTCTGAACAAACCAAAATGAAACACGGTCAACGTCAATGCATTAATAGAGTATCGATCTTATTCGCATCACGTAATACATGCGGAAGACAAACGCTTCGTTGGCATAAAATATGTTATAGTGTCACTTAACAGTGACACAGACGAGTGCAGAATGTCATGGATTGTACACTATATGAAGGGATTGGTAACTATGAGTTGCGGTATCGTCTCTGTAGGTTGCAGATTTTTTTCTTCTTCAGATGTGTTTACATGCATCAGATTTCAGTACGATAGTTTTGGTTGGCGAGAAATAGTAGAGTGGTACATGCCTGGATACAATAAAATCTCAAGCAGCAAACATATTATTCGAATTCAATCCGGGCACCTCTGATACATGTTCCCGTACTGGACAAGGCTATACCAATCTTAAGATCACCATATCATACAAAGATGATGTGAAGCCAATACACCGACGTTACACGGACGATACACAGACTATGTGCAGGTCGGAATCGACCACCACTAGGTATGGGAAGTTTGGGGTTCTCATCGGAAGGACACTAGCTGATGGTACCGCGTGCTGAAAGTATGATTCAGTATATATTACACGTACTACATATCAATAACTGAACATCCAGTGAACCTGGTATGAAACTTAAGACAGCCACAATACATCCTCCCTTTGCGCGACACGAATAAGCAACAGATTCACATGAACAGAACCACTCACAAACAGTAATTGACATACACACACGCTAGCTGAACTGAACACCTACCAAGGCTTCCTGGGCGGTGGCGTGTACGAACACCTTCGGCGATTCGTTTTTCGAGGTCACATGCGCAGATAAGTGTGTCAGACTGTCTTGTGGGAGGATATTAATATCGGAGTGCTCGTCTATAGCCATGTGTGTGAGCTTGACGGGGTTTGCACCGACTAGATGGAGGCCACCACAGGCCGAGAGCCAAACGGCAGTTTTAAGTACACTATGCATAATGTATATACGATTATATCTATATGTTCGTGTGTGTGTGTGTGTGTGTGTGTGTGAGTGAGTGAGAAAGATCAAATAAATTTATTATTTACTATTGAAAAGAGGGGTGCATGGAACTAGTCGCTAGCGTTCATATAGTTTTAGTAATTCTGAGATTGGTTCACAATATATAAAAAATAAGGAATATATTTTAGAATCGACCGTGTTCAAAGGAGGCAATGTATAAAATTAAAGTGTCAACTGATGACATCATATATAGTGACATGTGTACCTCATGATTCTTGACATCATGACATGTCTGTATTAGAGTAGTCAATGGTGCTTGGAAAATCTGAACGTATTTATCTGATCAGTTGACCCGTTAACCAATAAAATGCCGTTTCCGAGACCCCAATCCATATATAATCCCGTTGTCACATTCCCCAGTCCCCACTCATCAGAGACAGACAGCTCATCAGCCTCAGTGAGGCTCAGAACCTCAGATGCTCAGGCCGGCTCATTCAGGCTCGTAGAGTCACAGCTGATTCCACCGCTGTAGAAACTGGAGAGTGTGGGAGTGTGGGGCGGACGGGTGGCTGTGTTGTTTGGGACTTCGGGCTCCCAAGTCCCAGCTCTGTGAGTGAAGAGTCGTATGAGAGGCTGGGGTGCTGGGCTGGTCAAGCACCAAGGCCCCAGTAGGCCAGTACGGCAGTACCCAGCCTCCCGACCCAGGGGCCAGGGCCCAACCAAAGTGCGGCGGGAGTGGGGGGCTATTGTAGGTGCCTGGCTGCCTGCAATTTGTTTGGGAAAAGTAGGAGCCGAGAGGAATTTTATAAAACTGATATTTTAATACGTATAACGTAAACATGCTTTCAGGGTCTTGGTTTCGTCGCTAAGGCATATATTATACTATAACTTGAAAACGTAATAACTCTTCAAAATAATTGCGTTGAAAAACGTAAAACGTGATAGAGGCCGTCACACGCAGCTTGGGAATCATTGTGATTCCATTCCTATCTATGTGTGCCCTCGTTCCATTCCTAAATATTTTAATAAAATACGTCAGAATCCTCCATTCCATTCCTAAATATTTACGTCAGAATCCTCCATTCCTCCTTTCCATACCTAAATAAATATTTACGAGCATTCAACAGTTTGTTTTATTAGTTTGTCTGTTTAAAAAAAAAAAAGGCCTTTTTAGGGAGGCTATTGCACAAACACCCAAAAAACATCATGAAATCATGTTTTTTTAATTTACCCTCTGGAATCGAGTCTCTCGAAAAATAGGATGAAGGTATTCGACGGGGACTCATTCCAGACTCCCAGTCCCTGAGAGCCATGGCCCTTGACATAGCCTCCATATTTGTTTCAAAACAAAAAAAAACAAATATGGCCAAGATAGGTTTTTTTAGCTATCAAATCTTCAACTTTTCAAGAGCCTCTCAAACAAATTATTTTTTTGGGGGGTTTTAGGGCTAAATCTAATTCACTTTTTAACGCATAGAAACGGTTCCCATCCTATGTATGACTGCTTCGTTTGTACGTTTAACGCTTTCAGATCCCTCTGTCGCTTGCGACAGGTTCATTGTACATCCGTCTTTTTACATACTCATTTATGAATAATATGTTTACTTTCGTGTCACTAGTAAAAGTAACTAATTATACATTCACTCGTGTATTTATAATTTCGTGTCACATGTGCTATGCATGTGTATATACATATATATATATATATACATTTCTGTCGTTTAGGTGTAAAGTACGTGACTGCTTGCAACTATCGCGCATATAGTACTCCTAGTTGCTGTATTCAGATACTAGTACTACACATGTACACTTACCTTTCAATTTTTGTGTGCACCTACGTTCATTATACCCGCGATCTGTCACTTTCCTCAGTACTAGCGTATATGCGTGCATCTCGATACATACAGCCATGATTACTCCAGTTTCATCTGCAGCAGATGCCCAAGCATCGGGCGCAACTGATGGACAACCTAACGACACGCATCACGAGGTGGCCAAGACGTGAAATGTTCTTGCATTCGATATATATATATACATACACACACACACGCATATATATATATATATATATATATATATATAGTAGTATTATATATATATATATA